ACACACATGTGAAATCAGAGTTCACCACATCTTTACTCCTTCTAATGCAGGGGTTATCAACTGATGGTGACTTTGCACCCCAGGGCGACATTTGGCAATTTGGAGACACGTCTGGTTTTCACAACAGGAGACTGCGGATGGGTGCTACTTGCATCTAGTGGGCACTCTACGAAGCTCAAGATGGCCCTTCACAATGAGGAATCATCTTGGCCCCAAACCTCAGGCCACATTAATCAAGTTCCTAAATAAGACAGGGGAGGTGACCCAATTTACAAAGCAAGTTCTGACCACTGAAGGGGTCACCAAAACACTGTTAACATAAGAAATCATCTCCTTGTACCACTTTTATTTATCTCCTTGACTAAAGACACACATCAAAGAGAGGATAAAATTAACCCTTTAAATGGTTTGGCAAACTTCTCCTCTTCCTGAAGTTTCACTTTGGAAACTAAATATTCTCAGCATTTTACAAATACTCCCAAGTTAAAGAAAATGGCAGGAATTCCTAAGTGATAAAAAACCTCCCCACCAATCAAATAAAGTTCAAGTGCTGTTATTTTCATTAATAATCCTCAAGTTGAGAAAACATGATGGCACTTAAATACTTGCTTTTTGTATAAAACAGGATAAAATAGTTCAAGTCAGTGATAAAATATGAATACACAATGCAAAAATACAAAGAAAAAAAAATCTGCTCCTTTGTGTTCCCGCTCAGGACGTGCGCCCCTCCTCCCGTCCTCTCATGTCCCACTTACCTACCCGAGTCTGCAAGGTCCAGGTCGAATCCGCCCCACACCAACCTCAGTCTTTTCCAATCCCTACACTCTGGCGTGGCAATACAACTAAAAGCGACTTAAGGGAAAGAAAGGATTATACTTAACTATTTCTCTGTCTAAAAGCAACCAATATGGTACTGAGAGTTCCTGGAACTGTTTTCTGGCCATAACTATTATATAGCAGGATATTTAATTAACTCTTGCCATACAAACAACTGAGGAAACACTCAACATTTTACCTCGTCTTCACTCTCTTTATCTTCATCATCTGAAGACTCCTCCTTGTTTCTCTTCTCGTCTTCATCACTGCTAGACTCATCTGACAGGATCTCGGGACATCTGGCTCGCTTAGCTTTCCTGGCCATTCCAGAACTATTCCGTTCCTTTTTGTTGCCTTTGCTAAAAGACTTTTTCGATTTTGGCAATGGCTGCATGAAACACAGATAACACCAGTGAGGTAATATACTTCCAAGTCAATCAATTACTTTTGATATCCACTCAATTAATAAAATTTCCAAGCTTAGCAGTTTTACAGAGAATAATCATCTTTAATATGAGAAGTTCATTTTTGGTCTGTTACCAATGACCATTCACTCTTAACATGCAGGCATTCTTAACGTTCTACAAATGTTGAAAGAAGTACATACTCTGTTTCTGACATGGAACCAGAAGCCCAACTACACTCTGTAGCAAACTCAGATAGTTGTTCACACCTTACCGAGACAGGACTTTGAGTGAAACTTGTAGTTCATCTCACTACTTAGAGGACTGGGCAGGACCATCCATGAAGGAAATAAAACCCTACTTTACACACCCTGAATTTATGAACCATACAGTTTATATTCTTATTACCTCTGGGTTCTACTTTCAATAATGCCAGGATTATATTCTCACTGATGATTCTAAATATGCAATTAGTGCTGAGGATGTTAATTATGAAACTAATTAAGAACTACAAAACAAGTGCACTGCTATTCCTCTGATAGTCAATTAAACCATGCATATTTAAAAAGCAGCATTGCTCAAATGAGGAAAATGATTTGACTGTATGACCCAGCATAAATGCCTTCTTACGGGAGTGTTTGCTAACTTCTGAAATTGAAAACCATAATATAGTTCTATGACAGCTTGCATAAAGGATCTGAAAAGATAATATACTAAGGAAATAAAATTCCTGATTTCTGAAATCATGGGTATCTTCTGTTTTATTTTTGCCCATGCTATTTTACTCTCAGCAATAAGCAGGAACATTAAGGAAAGTTCCATAATATAACTTTAAGATGCACAGCTGTATAAATGTTAGTGCTCATCTTTCATTAAACTAGCAGAGCCACAGGCCCCTTCTCCCAGGAACTTCCAGTCATCCGGGTGACTGTCGCCTGCACAGAAAACTAAGCAGAAGTGGCTGCTTTGTGACGTAGTGCTCCCAGGCTGTCTGCAGTCCACAGGAGCCCCTAGTTTGCCTAGACCGCCCAACTTCTCAAGGGCCAACTGAGACCACTTCAGAGATGTGAAGTTCATAGACCAAAGATATTTCTCAGAGGGGCCGTGTACAAGAAATGTCCTGGAATGTGTAGATACCCTTGTTATGTGAATTATTACCATTACCGACTATTACCAGCAACCGAATCCATTTGGTAAAATCCACTGACTATTATAGAGAAGAAAAAGTTAGTATTAAATTTTTATAGTGTCTTACTTAAATTACACAATTGTATGGAAGCCCAGAAAAGAGCTTGAGATCAATACTATCAGATTACAGCATAACATTATGGAATCAGATATGAAAAACAGATTTAAGAGTTAGCTTCCTTAGGAAAGGATAAGACAGTGGTTCTCAAAGTGTGGTTCATGGACCCTGAGGTTTCATGAGACGTTCACAGAAACCTACAAAGTCAAAATTATTTTCATAACATCAAGGCATTATTTATTTGCTCTTCTCACTGTGCTGAAACATGCAATGCTTGTGCACAAGCAAAGGCTGAGTGGAACGGTTGGCCCCGCACCGTGCTGGCAGTCATACTGCACAACCACTCACGAGCGGGAGGTCGGCGCTTCACTTGAATACTGATGAAGTTGTATTAATCGTACTAACTCTCGACCTCTAAATACATGTCTTTAACAAAACGGGAGGTATATATAGAGTACTTTGGCTGTATATTGAAGTTCACTGGCTTTCTCAAGGAAAATCACTTGTGTAATTGAGTTGTGAACTAAGCTAGCTACTTTTTTACAGAATACTGGTTTTAAAAGGTGATTGAAAAACTATGCTTATACAGACATACATATTTAACAGACATGTTCTCAAAAATGAACCTGAAAGCCTGTCACTTCAAGGAAAACAATTGACAGTATTTACTGTCAACGGTAAACTTCAAGTGAAAATTAGAATTCTGGAAAATTCACCTCTATGCACTTGACAGCCTCCCAACACTGAGATTTTTTTTTTTTTTGATGAGATGGTGGTTATATTAACAAATATAACTTTCTGACGTTGTTCAATGAAATGTACCAACATTTGGAAAATCTGTGTAGTTCAGGGAACCAATTATTTCCCAAATGGTGAATGCGTATTATAAAATCATACATAGGTAAAAGGTGCAAGTTCACTGCCATGGTTTCACATAACACATTACAACTAACCTTTAAGAAACTACTACTGTGGAGTTTTGGTGGTTTATCAAAGGAGAATATCCACATTTATTTGACAGGGTTTTCCAAATATTCCTTTTTTTCCAGCTATATACCTGTGTGAGGCTGGATTTTCTCCATATACGTCAAGCAAGACAATACATTGCAAAAGACTGAAATGCAAAAGCCAATGAGAATAGAGCCATCTTCTCTTTAAGCCACACATAAACAAATTTGCAAAAACAAAGTACCATTCTTCTATTTTTTGTGAAAGTATAATTATTTTTCATTCACAAAATATTACTTCTGCTAACATATAGTGGGCTGTTAGTTTAGAATTTTTCAGTTTAATTTAGAATACAATAAATATCAAAACAACCCACATAAACAAAAGCTCTTGGGATATTCACTAATTTTTAAGCGGGCAATGGGGTCCTGAAACCAACACATTTGAAAATCACTGAGGAAAAAATGAATAGCAACACATTCCTTATACTTAGGTAACTGTTAACTTAGTATGTACTAACTATATACTTAATGTATGTAACTACATACTTAGTAACCTTAACTTAGTTAACTGTTTCTGGGGAAATAGTGTTCAACTTGTCACTTGAAATTCTAAAGTAGAGGACGGCCTTTAGTAAAAGTTTAGAAAAACAGGTAATTTCTCATCTTTAATAGGCCAGTCCAAAACATCAAGAGAATCACCATATACCCCTCGACATACACGTCACTCATCTGTCCCTGCCCAGCTAAGGGTAAACAGGACCAGGAGCGCAGAAACAAAGCCTCAGGGCTGGTTTCCGGTCTAGTCTTTACGCCTTCTCCCCTCACCACGTGTTCCTTTGGGCCCTCAGGCCCCCTGGATCTCTTCCAAATTTCTTTGCTATCAAAATGAGCAAGAAAATGAAAATACTTAATGACAGACTTAAACTGAAAACGAAAGATCACGTAACATTTCAATAGATGTTTTAAGTCAGTGATATTATTTGCTATTGCTAAACAATTAGGGCAAACCTAATCCACATTTTAGGAAGAATGGGAGAAATTGTAAGGCCATTTTACCTCCCTGTCGTGTTCCTGGGCCCTGCTGAGGATTCTGGAAACCTAATCCAAGAAACTGGTAAGCATCAGCTTTCCGAAAGTCATGTGTCATAACCTTATTTCAGTACCTAGAAAATCCCCAGTTCTAACACCCCCATCCTGACTTTCCTGTTTACAGGTTGCACATCCTCCCCCACCAGCCCATCACCTACCTCATCCTCAACTCAACCTGTTTCTTTTCCTAGTGCCTTCTAGATACACAATCCTGGATACTTAGTTTGTATTTCTATCCCATATGACATCAATTTAGCTAATAACTATTTTTCTTTATCTTATACATATTACATCTGATAACGAAGAACATATCCACGTTTTTCTTGTTGTTTCTATGTGAAACTGTTGTAGATGTCAATGGAAGGCGTATTCTTTGGCTGTAGAAGATATTTTTGAATGTTGACAGCAATACTGCTCACTAACTAAATTGTTCCATAAAAGAGAAAGTAAGCAGAGACTATAAATAAGTGATGTTACTGAAACAGTAAAAACTGGTCTTTACTTTGCCAGAAGGCTTTGGATGCATTAGGAAATTCAAAATCCTCTTCACTAGTTCACTATTTACACCCGATCTCTCCAAATCAAGAACCTCGCAGATGCTCTTTAACATGGCATTTCTAAATCTGAAACAGAAAATGGAAGAAACTAGGGTGATTATGTAGGAACGTTTATAAACATTATCCACAATGAAGACAACAGCTAAGCAAACTGGCTCAGCTACAAACATTAAAAAGAGCAGCCAACCTCCTCCGTCTTAGAAGTTCTTCTAATAAACTTGACTCATGTACAAAGTACAACCCGACATGATTATTAGTAAACTGAAAACATCACTTAAGTTTTAAAGGCAATAAGAGAATAAACCAAGTGAATTACTAGAAAACAGTGTGAAAAGTTTTCAATATTATAAAATTCATGGACATGATAATTCTTCTGGCTGGTGATTAAATATTACATTTTCCCCTTAGCATTCCTACTATGACAATGTTTCAGCGAAGGAATAGGTAATCATCTTTATAATTTAGAGTACTTAAACTACTGGGGATTTAATAAACTCTAAGAATCTACATTTTGCTTACAGTGAAGGACAGTTTTTATCACGTTATCTTCACAATAGCTTCAAAGGCACTTACATGTGTGGGAGCAGAATGCCTAACAGGGCACAGGATTGGAAGAACTCTACCTTCCCTATATAGAATTCACTGTATTCCCCTTAGACCTGCTTTTTGGT